TTACTGAGAGTGAAATAATCTGAGAAAACGTTATTGAGTAGAAAGGACAATGAAAAACCAGGATTAGAAAAAAAATTTTAAAAAAAACCCAGAAGACGGCGATTGATTTAAATTTGTGATGATCGTTGTTGACAGGAGAGTAGGAAACCAAGAATGAGTTCCACGGGCGATGAGTGTGAAAGAAGAAGCTATTAGAATAAATCATCTAGCAATTTCAACAGTAAAATTATGAAACTTAGCTGCCTATCCAGTACTGTGCTTTCCTTCATGAAGTCGATGTACCGAAGTTAATCGACATCAGAAGAAACTCTATAAACATATTCATAGAAACACAGGGAAATGATGGTTACAATGATGGTAAAGTGATTGGAGCCGAATTGCCAGGTCATGATTAAAAGCATTTCAGATTCTTCTTTAGATTTTGTAAAGAATCTCTAGATAAATATCAGAAGCACCAAACCGGATGTGACAGCAATATTCAATAAGTTGAGAGATAGATTTTTGCTGGAAAAATTGTTTAGCACAATGGAGTGAAGCAACCTTTTCCCATTCTGACAGTCTACAGTCTTTCAATTCTGTCTCGTTGAAAAGTCGTTGTTTTACTAATTCCCGTATAAGTTTCATTCCATAAGTGCTAAATTAGATATAAAGTTACTCATATTCAAGGCCAATCTTAGCAGAATGTTTTGGATTGTTATTATGCTGGGATATAGCTCTCATTCTTGAAGGCAACATTTCAGTATTTTCATGTAATCTACTGCATTCAAGATTCCGTCGATGAAATGCAGACCTCTAGGGCCATTAGGTTTCTTAGAGCTCTTAAATAAAAGCAACGTGTTTTCTTTCAACATTTTCATGTAATCTACTGCGTTCTTTAAAACTCCGTCGTTGCTCCCATGTTGAGTCCATGGTATTCTTAGTATTTCTTCTAAATTACTTTTCTGCTGCCTCAAGTCTCTTTTCCATCTCTGACGAGATTATCCAGTATTAACTGCCATATACGAGTTACCAATATTCCACAAGAGTTCAGTATTCTTCTTTGGTTTTAATTTTATTTTCATAATACTTTGCTTGTCTTTTGGAAGGCATTTCAGTTATCGCAATCTGACTTCGGATTTCGGTGTCGCATTTTCCATTCTTGGTACTTCCAATCTGTAATTTATATGTTGGGTTGTTTCTTTTGCTGACAACCATGCATTCTGTCTTCTTACAGTTGATACTTACTCCTTCTTCCCGTTTCACTTTACTACCTTCTGTAGGAGTTCCTATAGCTTTCTTTCTGTGTCTGCTATCAACACTGTGTCGTTTGTATGTCTAATGCTTTTATGATTGTGACCGTCAATAACAATTCCTTGTAAGACTTCTAACTCTACTAGGATTGCTTCAGTTTTTGAATTGTTGATACTGGTTCAAAAAGACCCGTGAGAAGGCACATCCTTGTCTTACGCTCCTTTATATTTTTGTATATTTACTGGATTCATTTTCTATCCGTATGCAGGCAGTTTGCTCCCAATATCGGTTCTGTATTATTCTAATACCCTCCCCAAATCATTAAAGCTTACCTAGCAGTCCTAACAGTACTTTATCTTGTTCAAGAAAAAAAAAATAACTCCAGTCTCAAGTTTGGTTTAAAAATATACTTAGAATACAGAATGAAACTACTTTAGCAGCGGTGTACTTATTTTTAGACGGCTGCATATTAATACTTTTTTGTTACAAAGTTTGAATGCTACAGAATTTGGTAATAAATAATTCCTGATAAAATTCGTTTTGATTCTATGATGTTTCACTAGAAATAATACAATCTTGGTATAATTAAATTAGAAGAAAATTAACTATTTATTTTAAGAAAATTGGTAAGAATGGACTTTTTTATGATTATATATATATATATATATATATATATATATATATATATATATATATATATATATATATATATATATATATATATATATATATATATATATATATATATATATATATATATATATATATATATATATAGAAACAGGAGAGATAGAGAAAACAGGAGAAAAAATGGTATAAGAGGAGGGGGGGGAATCTATTTTATCGACAATCAGGGCATGCAAAACTCGCGTGCGTAGGTGGCAAAGAGGGAATAATAGAGGGTAAGGTGGGGTAGGCGTTCTGTCAGGCGAGCAGGCGCGTCCGCGCTTGCGCCCTCTCGCAGCAAGCACGTGCCGCATGTTCACGCATGCTTACAAGTGCGTGGGCATTCAAGAACACTTGCCTCTCTCTCCAAGCCGAGAATTGCGTATGGAGAGAGAGAGAGAGAGAGAGACAGACAGACAGACAGACAGACAGACAAAGAGAGAAGAGGAGGGAGAAAAAAGACAAAAAAAAAAAGAAAAGGAAAAGTAAGACAGAAAAGACAAACGCATAAATGAAACTACAAAATAAATAATCACATGTTGCATGCATCCCACGCGTTTTTTTTGCTCCGACGACTTACAAGTTTGGACCTGTTGAGCAATAGACTTTGCCATTCCCGGCCGCTGTATCTAAGATTCCTTTCTTTGTGGCTGACTTCACTTGATGACACAGATGCCACTGATTAAGGGCGGGGGTACTACCTACAAAAAATTTAGAATAAAAAATAAATAAAATAAAAAGATTCAGAATTTCCCCTTACTCTATCGCTCTTAATATAAAACTACATATAATTTTATTAAGTTAATAATTTTTTGTCACTATTCGTGTGATTATTACTTATTGAATTAATATTTTAAATCCGATATCTCAGCAATGATGCTACTACTATTAATGAAACATATAATCTGACAAGTAATTTTATGCTTCTTCATTACTAGTACAGCGACTAATAGTAGTAGTAATATGATCAAAAATAACTTCTCCCATTCGGGCATTCACTTTACAATACAATATACATCTACTCCAATTTATAGTGCTTTTACTATTCCTTTTTACAACATCTAGTTCTATCAGTAACATTAATATTAGGGCCACGTCAACAGCTATACTATTGTTACTACTATGACTACTGGGTCTACCACAACGGTACTGCCATTAATATGAATGTTTGTACTATTACGACAGTATTTGAAGCACTAATTCCATTAACATTACTAAAGATACGTCCACAGCTGTATTATTGTTACTAATGACTAATACTAAGGCTGCCATGAACTGCCGTTTACACACTATGAATGTTCTTGCTATTGCTACACTATTGATACTATACTGTTCCTACTACTAAAGGCTACGATTAAAATGTTGTTACCATTGGTATAAATGCACAACGTTTATCCTCTTCTTCAATGAGCCGTGTCCCTTCGCGAAATGGGCGATCACGACTCTCCACAACTTTCTGTCTTTTGTTGCTCTTAGTAAGGTTTGTCTTTTTGCTATTCTCCTAGTTCCTATTCTGCCAACCATTTTCATAAGCTCGTTAGGTATGTTATTCGCTGCTTTCTTCTGCTCGTCTTATCTTTAAAATATCCTGTGAGTGTGAAATTCTCCAAGTCCTCTTTCCTCAATATATGCCCTAGAAATTTAGACTGTTTCTTTCTGATTTTATGTGTCCTTTTTGTTTCCATTTTCCTTAAAACCTCCACATTACTCACATATTCAGTCAATGGCATTCTCAGCATCCTTCTGTAGAACCGCGTTTCTGTTGGTTCAAGTATCTTCATCCGTGAGGAGATTGTCCTGCAGTCACCGCCTTTGTAGGATCGATATTACATAATAGTTCAGCTATCTTTTCATTTTTTCCTAACGAAATTTTACTCTTTCTTAATACTTTGCTTAGCTTTTACAAGGCATCTTTCACTATTCCAATAAGCCTTCGGATTTCGGCGTCGCATTTTCCGTCCTCTGTTAAGACACTACCCAGATATTTTACTGTTTCTTAATACTTTGCTTAGCGTTTACAAGGCATCTTTCGCTATTCCAATGAGCGTTTGGATTTCGACGTCACATTTTCCGTCCTCTGTTAAAACCCTACCTAGATATTTAAATTTTCATTTCTTGATTGGCTATAAATTCTCCAATTCGTATTACGCATCTTGGATTTTTTTTTTTTTTTTGCTAACAACCATATATTCTGTCTTACAACTGTTAATAATGTTGCTATGTGTTTAGTGTTTCTTGTTACAATTGCTTTAATGTTATTAATACCACTACTATCACGATATTTGCAACACACTGTTATCCAACTCGACTCTGTTGTAGCCAGACATATGTGTGTCTCTGGCTACAACTATACAAGCTGACGGAGTCATTGGAGGTATTTTTAGAGATTCCCAGTGTAACGTCTATCGTCTTTCTTTCTTTTTTACTGAATGGATATTTCCATATTTGGCATTGGTGTAAATAAATGCGCGTGTGTGCACGCGCAAAATGAATGCTTGCAAGTATAAAGTCCCTCCGATAGAACCAACGGAAAGGAGGCATCTGTTCAGCAATTTCGTGACAAACGACTTACGCCCCCGCCCATGACCGGCTCCACAACTAAGCAACAGATCGGTGGTCGAGGGGTGGTAATTCGTCTCTCTCTCTCTCTCTCTCTCTCTCTCTCTCTCTCTCTCCCTCATTCTTCGAACTGTCGACCTGAGGGTACTTATCTAAGAGTAGCAAAAATCATAATTTAACACTTCACTTAGAACTTCTATCTCTAGGCGCACGATATTTAATATCAACTGATTGCAAATTATATCTGTGCTCGGCATTTGTAAAAACACTCACCATATTGATTGATTTGTTTTACGATCTATCAACCTTTTGCAGATTAGTTAAAGCCAGAAAATATTTTTAGATTGTAAGAATTTTATGAAGATAATAATGATTTACTTATATAATTCCTATTAATTAACAAGTGGGGAAGAAGAGATAAATTCATATCTTCCCCAATGGTATTTGCACGTTAGTGAACATAATGAAACCGACTGGAATTGGAACACGGCTCCTCTATCTCCAATCTCAAGCCGTTATCCATTGCATTACCTGCACATCCAAGGTTACAGCACCTGGTATTTCCAAGCGGTGACCTATCTAGGTACTGCCCAGACTCGATGTTGCTTAACTTCGATGATCGTACGAGAACCGACGTTTCAACGCGATATGGCCGTAAGCCGCCATGTTGCTATGATCATCGAATTAGCCTTAGAAGGCATAGCCTGTGAGTTTATTCCCCGCTTGGTACTTCATGCATATAGGCTCATTGTCAGTGTGGAGGGAGCAGTCTAAGTCAAGTTGTCTCCGTGTAAGAATTTGCACAGTAAAATCAGTTTACATCATTTTCATAAGTGAGAGGTGACAAAGTATGGGGGTACCCCCTACTTTTCCTATATGTATGTGATTATTACGCTAAAGTTGATTTAGTCCGACAATTACCTAAAGGCATTTCAGAATTGTTGACACCAAAGCCTCTCCTGAAAAAAATTATCTCTTAATTGCCGGGCTCGTGAGGCTCACAGACAGCAAGAAGATGCAATATTAAGATTTGTAAACCCTGTTTCCTTGCATCATAAGAAGTAATGAATTATTGATCCATATTTATTTGTACCGATCATCTACAAATATTTAAAATTTTGTAGCTTACGACGAGTTTAATCTTAGAACATTCGCAACTACCATAATTACTTGTGTATAATACGAACATTTTCCCCAGATTTGTAAGCTTAAAAGTTAGTTGGGCATTTTATACATAAATACTAAATTTTTCCCAGACACATGCGTTGCCATATTCGGAACGTTATGACTGAAAGCAACTTGTATCTAGTGATTTACTAAGCGTAGTTTAGATGTGGCACAAGTCCAAAAGTTCGGAGCATCCAGTGAGGATTAAACTCACTACTAAGACGTAATTTAACTGGAAAGACAAGCTACTGTAATAATTATACCACGTCGAAGTGCCCAAGTATGTTATATCTATGGTCGAAATTAACTAAAATGTATGGCTTTTGGATATATCACGTTGAAACACTGGTTCCCGTACAATCACCGAATTTAAGCAACATCGAGCCTTATCAGTACCTGGATAGGTGACCGTTTGAAAATACCAGGTGCTGTAAGCTTGGATGTGCGAGTGGCGTAATGGATAATGGCTCGGAATTGTTAATCGGAGAGCCGAGTTCCAATTCCAGTTGGATTCGTTATATTCACTTACGCACAAATACCCTCGAGAAAGGTATGTATACACCTCTTCTACCCACACCCCCAGCTACGGGTTAATTAGTAAGACTTGTATCATTATTATCTCAAAAACAATTCTTACAACCTAAAAATATTTCCTGGCTTTAAATAGACTGCAAAGGGTTAATAAGCCATATAAAACGTATCAGTCAAATGAAATGTACCTACGTTTGTATATGAAGGCATAATGTAAGGTATATAAATTCTTATTTTTAATCGATACGAACCGGATATGAAATTGAACAAAGGTTAAATTTAGGTTAATTTTAACTACTGCAAAATTCTAAAAGTCAGTGCGTATTATACACAAGAAATATTTTTCACAGAATCTCGTAGCCCAGAGAGATTACTGTTATATATTAATAATTACGGTACTATTTCCATAAGGGTATTTGTAATGGTTAACGAGCTAGGCTCGTTGTACATTATTGTTAAGTAGAGAGTTCTATTGGAGGCACGGCTCAGTTTGAGGACTCTGGTAACAGTCGGGTTACATTCATTTACGTGCTAAAACTCATGGGAAAGGTATGAATCCATCTCTTCTCCCCCGCCTCCAGCTATGTGTAAGATAGGAGGATAGAAGAGGTCCTATAGCTTTGAGTGGCAGCCAGTCTAGGAGAAAGAGACCTGCTGCCTTGCAGGTCCTGCTTCTTTAAGCAAAGGCTAGAACAAGGTAAATTAAAACAAATCCACCTTGAAAAAAGGGACTGCTTCCTACTTCGAGCTGCGACAAAAAATAATGGATTCCTCGGACAAGAGAGTGCTATCCTTATTGAGTTCTCCATACTAATGACCTTGCTCCAAACTAGTCTAAGTTTAGTTAATGGCAACTACTGCTGCCACCGATATTTCCTTTTATCCTTGTATTGTGTTTTAATACCAGAACTGGTATTTTCTCGGCATTTACTGAGCAAAGCTTATCCTCGCACGGCATTATACACTGTGTAACGAATTATTAACGACGTGACAGAAAACTACACGTTGGAATTTAACAAAATTTTCACAGTGATAGCGACAGTTATATGCGGATGCCTTGTAAAAAGTGTAAAGTTCCGCAAAAATACACATCTACTTAAATTCTAACTGTTCCAAGTTTAATCAGGTGTAATTAAAACTCATGTAAACAAGAAAATAACGCTTTAATTGCTTTATATATAGATTGTTATGGATATATCCAGTAACCAACATGAAATAAATAGAAATCAACAAGTAAACAAGTTCAAAAATAATAGTGGAGCTGGTTAATAAGGGATAATGTGATCCTCTTCTTGAAATGACATGGATAAGGCGCTGGTCCTGAAACAAGTCAATTTCTGGATATCCTCTGATGTAATTCCACGTTCACTATTGCCTGCCACAAGTCCTCCTTGTATCTAAACTGGCGTCCATTCTCATAAACCCGTTGCTTCAGAATGCCCCACAAGTTTTCGACTTGGTTGAAACCTGGAGAATTGGTCGACCAGTTCATTTTCCGAGGTCCACAGAAACCTAATTGTTGCAGGTACTCTGAAGTTTTATGTGCTGCATGCGAGAGAGCATTATCTTGCATAAATATCGTGGTTCTCCTGGATGTGATCCTTTGCTTTTTTAACCAAATTTCAAGGTGCTCTCTCGGGAAGGCTATATAAGCAACTGCAGTCATTTTAATGCTGTCAGGCACTTTCCACGGACCAACCATGATACCTCCAATAATACCAGATACCAAATGATGATACACCCTCCTCCTTGTTGGTGTCTCAAGCGTTGATGACGAAGTCGTCTGTTTACGATCCAAACTTTGCTCATCAGGGCCATCGATGGTAGCACGAGTTTCATCCGTGAACAAAACCTCCGAGAAGTAGAACTTTATGTTATCTTCTGCTCATTTCAGACGCTTTTGTACGTATCTTTTTGTCAATGGAGGCGTTTTCATCTGTCTCAATGATTTCCCAATCTTTTTCAGAAGACGACATTGAGTAGTTCTGGACACAGTTGTTTCTCTAATGCACCCGAAAAGTCCTCTACTGGTCAGTCCTGGGTTATTTACAGCTTCACGCTTAATTCGCGACAGAGAACTTTGGGAAACAAGCCTCGAGTGACCCTTATCGGTCCTCTTATGTACTTTCGTAGGAGCTGCAACAAACTTTTTCACAGTTTGGTGTATCTTCCAATCATTTTGGATATTTCTAATGTTGATTTACCATTTGTAAGTTTAGATGTTGTAACAGATTTCTCAGAAGTAAATAAACATGCCTCAGTCTTAATACATGCTCCCCTACAAAAGGTTTTGTATCAGATAAGCCAAAATTTAATAAAATGTTATATGCAGTTACTTATAGGGGCTACTTTTTATATGTCCTGAACTATAGTGGTTTATAAGGTCTAGATTTTATACGTCCTCAACTATAACAATCTTGTATATGACTGCTTTTATTTTAATGCCATGTTCCTTCAGGGTGTAGGCGATCAGCACAGACGTATTCTCGTTATTATTTGCGAAATTGACGTGCATTATTGAGAAGAATAGTTGAGTGGTTTCCTATTGCCTTTTGTACTGTTTTGTATTCAAAGGTATGGTTCTCTTATACCGGGATGCCACCTAAGACTAGAGAGCTCATTCTACCCTGAAATTTAACCCACAGCTAGAGGGTAGAGAGAAAAGACCGACTCATGTCTTCTCCAATCCCTCCCCGTCTTTTGAACAGGTATAGTGGTTTATCCCTTGTTTCTTGATTAGGATTAACTTTCCGGTTCATCTTCCCAAAGTCTTCTCATTTCCTTTCACCCCCTTGCGTCTTATTATCACCTTTTACTTGTGGCAAAATGATTTAAAAAAAAAAAAAGAGCATTCGTACGAAACTGAGCTATACTTAGTAAATGTTCGCATGAAGCCTCTAACGTTAAGCAATAATTATTAGGTTTGTCTCCCTGGATAATATATTTGAATACTGGTATGTATGTGATTCTTACTGTTTAAAACGTTCTAATAGCCATATACAATAGGCTTGTATCCGAATAAGCTAAAATTACTAAATATTTACATTGAGGTTTTGTGTTCATTAGGTTAGTCAAGCCAAATACTATTTAGGTCATTCATTATAGGAGCCTAGAACAGGGGTCGTCAAACAAGATCGAGCGACCCTTAGGAGTCGGTGAGGAGTTCCAGAGTGTCGATGATAGTCAAGGGGCTGAATGGAGGTCGCTGTCCGAATGAAACTTAGCTACATTTTAGTTAGTGTACATGTATAATGTATTCTAATAAAAATACCGAGTGAATCCATTCTGTTAAATAGTGAACATTGTAATGACAAAAGTACGCAGGTGTAGGCTTTAAGAAAGCTTTATTCGACTGAGAATACAAGGTTCGCATGTAGTGTCCTTTTATAGTCCCAGTAAACAGAAATAGCTATCTCAAAGAGGAGAGTAACAAAACAAGGGGAGACCACTCTTGATTATTCATAACAAATAGCGTCTGTGACTATTGCACTTAAATTTGGGCATAGTCTCATCAACTTGCACAACAATACCAGGCCCACCTAATTTATCTCTGCTAAAATCGGTCTTTGGTATTTTCTTCTTGAGATGGTTTAATATATTAACTATTGTATGTTCTTTATTTGTATCCAAGTTAATTTTACGCTGTATATTGACTGTCTGGTAGCATACTTCTTCACCACTCTAATAAAATATTTTAAAGAAGTGTCAAACCCATCAAAAAAGACCCTGTTCTGATATCGCTATATTTTTTTGTATGAAACACATACTCTTTTCATACATCCCCAAGCATACTCATCTTTGTGCTTTTTATAGGACACTAATTTCAGAGCTTCTTTGCATGTGAGACAATTCACTCTAGGTTTTAATCAACTTTTTTGCATACAATACGTTATTAATTGGATATTAGTAATGGTTATGCAATTCTGTTCAGTAGCATCGATTATATTTAGGCTTGGTGTACTTCATATATTATTTGCTTGATTCATTGGGGTTATCTAATATATTTTCTCTAATATATTTTTGTGAAAAACTCTGAACCTAATGATGCTGGGGGGAAATTCTGAACAGATGACGCTGGGGGATATTTGAACCTGATCCAAATTTCTTAACTTTTCATACATTTTAGTTAACATTTTAATTGCCAATATCAGTGCGAGTTTTAAGGTTCAAAGATATTTTAAATGGGGGTTGCTGTAGAAGGAAGAGAAACAAAAGGGGGTCTCTGGTCGAAAAAGTTTAACGACTCCTGTATTAGACGAATGCGAACCTAGAGCTCCATCCGTTAAACATTTTTTTAGTTATCTTCCAGACGTTTCCATGACATCATAATTAGAATAACAGGTTTTTTTTCTGATTATTTTGTTCCTTCAATTTTTACTTTCGTGACAACGCCCAACTGTTGACCATGGGGTTTGTTCTCTCAGCTCACTTACTGGATTTTCCTACAACAGATTCTGAGGTATCTGATGACATATAAGATCCCTTATTTGTATGGTCAATTGGCTATGTACTGGTAGACTACGGTGTCTGTGTAAACATTAGTCTATCAGACACTACAACTTCGCATAGAAGATCCAAGAGAAACTGGTTTTGTAATTTCCCAGGAGTGGAGAATATTTTTTATGACATTTTAATATTTTGTTATGTAAAATGTATTAAAGTCTCATTACACTCCATTACACGATGATTTGTTTTAATCATTTTATTTGTTTCATACTGTTTCTCGAATGTTTGTTTACCTCTGTTTAACAAACAATAATAATATCATCTTTCGAATGTAACAGGATTTTATTTAACATACAAATTGAATGGAACGTGGAAACAAATAGATGCAATTGTTAAAAAAGTTTTATATTGTTAACTTAATATCCAGATATCAAATACTGGGAGAAATGAAAGTATAA